TCAGTGAGTACTTAACACCCTATTCTGGCTTCCACAGGCCTTGGCTACAACTAGCAAGATGACCCCACATACACACAATTCTGAATTTCCCCCAAACTCTCTCTCGCTTGCCTAGTTTAATCATATTTTAGTCTTCATTCCAGCTTGTCTATAACTTTTAATAGAGACCATGAGCATACATCATGCAAGAATATTAACAATCAGTGAGTTATTAGCATTCCAATGACATATTACATTATACTCTTTTAGTTACAGAATATAACTATAGCGAATTTGGGTACACTGAATTGATCAGGGCAGCTTAAACTCATTATATGATTTTGTTTATACAAGGCAAAATTAGCAAATTATTAAGAGTGACCAATATATTGTAGTTCTGCCAAAAACGTTAATTGAGTTACTGCTGTTATTTGCAACTATGCAACTTAACATACTATAAACACTACCATGGCTAGCTTAATTCATTGGGAGAGCAATCTAATTGGGTCCAGTGGGCTGTAGGATACCCAAAAGCATATACTTGTTATTGCTTGTGGGCATGGCAAATATGGGGTGACTCCTCATCGGGTGAGGAGTTTTATATACCTGTTGGTGCTGCTCTTACTGGTGGATATGGTCTCCTCTCTCATATAGTCTGGCAGAGGCCAGTTGCTGTTGCTTAGTGGAATTGGACCAGCTAGACTCTTCTACAGACCTAGGGATCTGTGCATAAGGATCCCAAGAGGGCCAACATGGTGGTTCAGAGGCTGGTTGGAGAGATCCGAATGCATTGGGTACCAGCAGTTCTAGAGAAGTTAGTCTAGTCTGGTCAGAGGATGGGTCCAAGGCAGCCTAGAAACTCTGTCTAGATCAGTGGTTCCCAAACTTTTCAGCATCACGCCCCCCCCCCCCCCTTTTTTTTTTGAGACACTCTACCACCTCCCCCCACAATAGCAGCAAAACTTGTGGGGGGGAAAAAAAAGAGAGAAAAAAAAGGAAGAACTGACCAGGGCCGAAAAACAAAAATAGCAGCAAAACTTGGGGGGTAGGGGTGAGGGAGCTAGGTCGCCTCACGTCCCCCCCCCTGGAATTTTTTCATGCCCCCCAGTTTGGGAACCCATGGTCTAGATGATTCAGCCCATGTGCAGGTCAGATTTGGTTCTACCAGTGGTTCTGTTGCTGCCAGTGGAGGGAGACTTGAGCTCATGGAGAGAGTAGTAGCTCTTTCTTCTCAAGGTGGATTCCTCTTCTGGTGTTGAAATGTCCCTCAGACAAACTGACCCCAAAGCAAATGAGATTGTGAGCATGGGATGGCAAGGGGAAGTATAAGTTTCTTTCTGCCACAATGTGAGGGACCCTTACGGGATGATAGGTGCTATCAAAGAAGAATCCTGCCTGGAGCACTTGGTCACTGCTAATAATAATATATGGAGATACACCTATCTCATAGAACTGGAAGGGACCGTGAGAGGTCATTGAGTCCAGTCCCCTACCCGCATAGCAGGAGCAAGTACCATCCCTGATAGATTTGTCCCAGATCCCTAAATGGCCCCCTCAAGGACTGAACTCACAACTCTGGGTTTAGCAGGCCAATTCTCAAAGCACTGAGGATCCCTCCCCCGCAAATGCCCAGTCTTCAACTTACAGAATTAGTTCTGTTGGATCCTTGCTCCTGTATATTTTACCCTCTAAGTTAGAATGCAAGCATGGACCCAAGTCTTTAGGACTTGAGTGCAAGGACTCACAATTTTGAAGGAATTAGGGAGTGATCCTTTCTCTTAGGAGGAGATCTGAAAGAAAATCTCTTGTGTCTGTGAGAGTATCCCTTACTCTTATGAGAAAACTGAGACTATAGAACTTGGGCTTTATCTCCTTGGTCTGGAATCCGATTGGCATCTTTTAGCTTTCTCCAAGAGGCACTTCCTCAGTTGATTATTTCATTTCCAGGGATGCTGGAACTGTTTTTATAGTGGGGGTGCTGTGAGCCACTTAATCAAACAGTAAATCCTGTAGATAATGGAAAACATCTCCAGTTCCAGCACCTATGCTCATCCCTCGGTGACCTGGGGAGAGGAGGAGCAGCAGATTCTGTACTTCAAGGAGATATTGTTCACTGTTGATCAAGAAGTCATGACAACAGGAGACATAGTTCTTAAATCCTAAAACTTTGGGCTCAGATCTTTTCCCTAGTGTGGACATGGAGAGGACCCCTTGTGGCTGGGAAAAACTGATCAACACTACTAAAGATACTAATTAAAACAATAAGAACTATATACATTTATAGATAAGAGAGGTAGTATGAAGATAACTTTGGACAGAGACCTTCAAACTCAACCATGCAGTGATCAGAAGGAACTGGAGAAGCAGTCTGTCTACACTTCCCCTTAAGCCCTCACTGCTGAGTATGAAGAGGGTGCACACATGGACCAATGAACAGTATCACAACATTTTTCAGTCTTAGGTACATGCATAGCCACATGTGGAATACACACAGGGACCAGTACTCAAAGATTAACCTATGATTACACACACAACTTAAGTAAACTCATTTCCTTTTCATAAGCTACTTGTTACAGTACAAGTACAGTACAAGTTACAGTAATTTTGATTTATAACATCATGCTTAATATGCTTTTTCAAATGTGATTACCAAAAGTACTCCTACAATGTACAGTTATCTCAGAGGAATGCACTGGTCAGAGCTCTAGAAACAAAGATTTGAGTGTGGGAGTTATTCTGTTGTATGTTGACATTTGGAGGTCAATAAGTCTTCCTGACAAAGCTACAATATTCCTAGATGACAGAATGACTTATTTTTTTTTCTTTTAAAGCAGGGGGTGAAAGGTATGAGTTAGCAGATAGGAATCAGAGTAGTCACATAGATTTATAAAAAACTGGATACAGGCAGTCCCCGGGTTACGTACAAGATAGGGACTGTAGGTTTGTTCTTAAGTTGAATCTGTATGTAAGTCGGAACTGGCGTCCAGATTCAGCCGCTGCTGAAACTGACCGCCAGTT